CAATGCATGTATGAGTTAGCAATCACTGTAGCTGTATGACATACAGAGTTGCGTACAGCTTCCTGTGAAACACGAGTCAGTATAAAACTTTAATAGATCCTCACTTCGGACGCTAATACATGGAAGTTGAGTGTTAACATTACTCTAGACACTGACCACTGGAATTTCAGTGTTAACATTACTCTAGACACTGACCACTGGAATTTCAGTGTTAACATTACTCTAGACACTGACCACTGGAATTTCAGTGTTAACATTACTCTAGACACTGACCACTGGAATTTCAGTGTTAACATTACTCTAGACACTGACCACTGGAATTTCAGTGTTAACATTACTCTAGACACTGACCACTGGAATTTCAGTGTTAAAATTACTCTAGAAATTGACCAATGGGATTTGAGAATTAACATTACTCTAGACACTGACCACTGGAATTTCAGTGTTAACATTACTCTAGACACTGACCAATGGAATTTCAGTGTTAAAATTACTCTAGAAATTGACCAATGGGATTTGAGAATTAACATTACTCTAGACACTGACCAATGGGATTTGAGAACTAACATTACTCTAGACACTGACCAATGGGATTTCAGTGTTAAAATTACTCTAGACACTGACCACTGGAATTTCAGTGTTAACATTACTCTAGACACTGACCACTGGAATTTCAGTGTTAACATTACTCTAGACACTGACCACTGGAATTTCAGTGTTAACATTACTCTAGACACTGACCAATGGAATTTCAGTGTTAAAATTACTCTAGAAATTGACCAATGGGATTTGAGAATTAACATTACTCTAGACACTGACCAATGGGATTTGAGAACTAACATTACTCTAGACACTGACCAATGGGAATTAACATTACTCTGGACACTGACCACTGGAATTTCAGTGTTAACATTACTCTAGACACTGACCAGAATTTCAGTGTTAACATTATTGACCACTGGAATTTCAGTGTTAAAATTACTCTAGAAATTGACCAATGATTTAAATTAACATTATTTGAGAATTAACATTACTCTAGACACTGACCACTGGAATTTCAGTGTTAACATTACTCTAGACACTGACCAATGGAATTTCAGTGTTAAAATTACTCTAGAAATTGACCAATGGGATTTGGAATTAACATTTTAGACAGTGATTTAACATTACTCTAGACACTGACCACTGGAATTTCAGTGTTAACATTACTCTAGACACTGACCACTGGAATTTCAGTGTTAACATTACTCTAGACACTGACCAATGGGATTTGAGAATTAACATTACTCTAGACACTGACCAATGGGATTTCAGTGTTAAAATTACTCTAGAAATTGACCAGTAGGATTTTAGTGTTAACATTACTCTAGACACTGACCAATGGAATTTCAGTGTTAAAATTACTCTAGAAATTGACCAATGGAATTTGAGAATTAACATTACTCTAGACACTGACCAATGGAATTTCAGTGTTAAAATTACTCTAGATACTGACCAATGGGATTTCAATATTAACATTACTTCATACATTGACCAATAGGATTTACATGCTACTCTGGACACTGACCTTTGTGTTTTTCAGTATAAGCATGTCTGTCTTGTTGTTACGGATAAGGAACTGTAGATGTAAGTTGATGGTAACATCTCCAGACAATATATTTTTAAGCTTCATCATGTTGTCCTGTACTTTCAATTCAGCCTCACTCTGAAATGTCAGATATAAGCAAGAACATGTCTGAAATATTTATTTGGCACACATTTAATCAACACATATATGTGATGGTTCTTGCAGATTGTAAAATATATTTACAAATTTCAGAATTAGTTGGTCAGTTGAGGTTAGACTCTATATAGGAAGGACTTTGTTTAGGTGTCAATGTTAAACATAATCGATTATCTAAACAAATTCAATATTTGATATGTCAAAAAAGTTAGACAGTTGCAACCGAATTTCTTTCCTCTTCATCTAATTTTAAAATGCATTGGGATCTCTTATACACAAGCCACAACTTTTATTTCAAAAGTGCTCAAGTGTAATCTTTGACCTTTAACCTTGACCAGTGACAACCAAAATCAAATAAGATGGAGAACTTGTTGGTGTAAGGCTGTATGAATAAGTATAAGTAAGAGTGTGAATATAAAATCTGTCCAAGGCTTCATAATATATCTAGTACACAAGCTCTTATTTTCAAAGAGATCAAGGGTGACTGGAAAGAGGAGATCACCTGACCAAAGTAATAGTGACAGTATACATAGTTGGGGACTATACACAGTAACAATGTCAGTTTTCAGTGTAGGAACCTGTATCTATATGGCAGATGATCTAGAGAAAGTAACAGTAGCAGTAAACAGAGTTGGGGCCTGTGTCTATATACTGGATGTTCTCACCAAAGTAACAGTAGCAGTAAACAGAGTTGGGGCCTGTGTCTATATACCGGATGTTCTCACCAAAGTAACAGTAGCAGTATACAGAGTTGGAGCCTGTGTCTATATACTGGATGTTCTCACCAAAGTAACAGTAGCAGTATACAGAGTTGGGGCCTGTGTCTATATACTGGATGTTCTCACCAAAGTAACAGTAGCAGTATACAGAGTTGGGGCCTGTGTCTATATACCGGATGATCTAGCCAAAGTAACAGTAGCAGTATACAGAGTTGGGGCCTGTGTCTATATACTGGATGTTCTCACCAAAGTAACAGTAGCAGTATACAGAGTTGGGGCCTGTGTCTATATACTGGATGATCTAACCAAAGTAACAGTAGCAGTAAACAGAGTTGGGGCCTGTGTCTATACACGGATGATCTAACCAAAGTAACAGTAGCAGTATACAGAGTTGGGGCCTGTGTCTATATACCGGATGTTCTCACCAAAGTAACAGTAGCAGTAAACAGAGTTGGGGCCTGTGTCTATATACTGGATGTTCTCACCAAAGTAACAGTAGCAGTAAACAGAGTTGGAGCCTGTGTCTATAAACAATACAATACTCACCTCTGGCTCAACCTTGCCCAGCTGTACTTCTCTGTTAAAATAAGAAACACAGAAAACTTAAACAAACAAATAGTTATTCATGAGAAATAGGCAAAGGTCCCTTACATCTAAGCAGTCCGAACATTTGTACCAAATGACCTTGGAAGAAAAACTACCAAACAAAGGTCTGTACAGTGGAATATTCAGCATGTGCTGTTTTAGGGGGCCAGCTGTACCTTATCAGTATTACTAACTGAATATCATTTGTTTTCGGAATCTCTACAAAAAGCAGGATTCGTGTACACACATTTCTAGAAGTGTTATGATATAGTTTATTGCTTTATTTTTGAAATTCCAAAACTGTGCATTCTGAGCTCTACATGCATTTTCAACGTCTTGTAAATGGTGCATTTGTATATGGTTGAATAATTTCATGTCACCTGAACCATTTAATGCGGGTTCCAGCCAAACACATCTCTATTATACTATGAGGATTCCTTCTCTTTTAAAGGACAGTGTTCATATTTCATTTCTAAAATCTTTGTTCAAATTTTTAAAAAAAGATGCAGTTTTATTTTCTGCAATTTAGCAATAAAGTCAAGAGAAAACAACACAAAATCCTAGTATGATGATTAACATCACTTTGTAAAATATTCGCTACATTGAATCTTTTATTTCCAACTTTTCTTGTCATATTTAAATGATTGAACAGCTTGGTACAGAGCAACTTTTACTTATGAAAGTAAGATTCCGACAACAATATAAATAATGAGGTCTCATAAACAACTCACTGATATTAAACATCATAAAACATAAAGATCACAAACATTTTACAATATTAAAGGAATTTACCCTGACTCTCCATCTTTTTGTTCTTCCTTGATATCAGACTCGGTGGTCACAATACGTCCTTTCTCAGTCCCTGCCACTTGACCAGAGGTGCGGAGTCCATTGCCAACACGCTGGAGGAATTGCTGAGTGGCACTGTCATACAAATCAAACGCGATCTGGTACGCCATGAGGATGTCATTCTAAGCAACAGAAAAACACACTGGTAAAATATCTTTTTAACACAACAGTATGTGTTGGGCAGAAAGTGTTGCTGTACTTCCTCACACATAAGACCGACAAGTTTAATAATTTCCCTTTTAGTACTTTTTATTACTCAAATTTAATACACTTTATCCAAGATTTACATGTTCTAAAATTAGAAACAGTGACACTGACCTTAGCATATTGTTCAAACATATGTTTGACATCTACAACTCAATTCTAAAAAACTAAATTCTGAAAACAGAAATAGGAGTGGGGAGGTAACCCTCAGAATTTTACATGGAATGTATCTGCATTCTTTGGCATCTTAAACACATGTTGTGTACCAACTTCTGTGTCTGATCACAAATGGAAATCCTCTGTATTACGATCGGCTTCTTCACTTTGGTATAGATATATCTCAAGCATAAAGAGTGATTGAAAACCATTTGCGAAATTTCGAAAAAATCTGTTTCCTCCATCCAATAAGGAAACCCCGTTTTCAAAAAGCTCACAAATACAGTTTTCAAACACTGTTTGTATGTAAGGTAAACATCTTCTAAAAAGTACAACCTAGACATTTCGATCAAATGGTTTACTGTTCCATCTCTGAACATTTTTCAAAAGCAATATTAGAAAGACTTTTAATTACCTCTGATCCTTGCATCAACTTTTCCAGGATCTCCGATACTGACTGGGGATCATCCAAGAAGATGTAACACTGCAAAGAAAAGATCATTGTAGTAACTCTGATATTACAACTCTAACCACATTTAAATAATTTATCCAAAACTCCATTTGATAATTATCTACAGAAAATCGACAAAATTTAGTTTTTTTTTTTCATTTCTGGGATTTATTACATCTATTTTGTTTTTGAAATTTGGGTGAATTTGCTGATTTGCAATGGCAGACTAAGAGTCCCTACATGTTTAAATTTTACTCCTCTGATATAGAGCTACACATGGTTTACAATGGATCTACTATACATTTTATATTATTGAAATGGAGCCTAACAGAATATCTATTTTCCACTGTATTTTCATGTAAGTATTTTCTCTTGTGATCTTTTGAGGCAAATGAAACCAAACAGCTGTTATAATTTTGACATGATATATACCTTCATATATTGGTATACACATAAGTTTATCAACAATATCTTCAGTTAAAGGTATACTGAGGATAGGTAAAACTTCCTGGTTGTGAAGAAGTGGAATTTGTAATCAGGAAAAAGTGAAAACTTTGAAAGTTTTTAATTGGTCTTTGTTGTAGAAAAAGTCCATCAAATATCAGAATCATAAATCAATATATATATTTGTGATAAATGATATTCTTACAAGGCAAGACTACAGAGCTGACAGCAAATACCCATTACGGAAAACTTTGTTCAATGTCATATTTGATGGAGCAATTGTGAAATATATCAACAAGCCTTCAGTATTAATGGTTATTGTCTCCCATCTACACATCAATACTGTATACACTAGGAAACATGTGGAACACTTTCTGTACCTGACAGACATTGATGTAGTCTGGTGTACCCAACTCCATGTAGAGTTTGGTAAGCACCATGAGGATTTCATTCCTGAACTGGCGATGCTGAATCAAGGACATGCAAACTTTCAGACTGTACGATAGCATAGCTGCAACATCGTCCTGGAGAAAAAATCACATTGAGTCAAACAAATGTTTCTTGGAGATAAAAGTACAATTGTCTTTATGTCAAGAACAAAGGGGGAAAAAAATCATTAATTCTTTATACACAACATGAATAGCATAAAGCAATAAATAAGATGAAATAACAAACACATCAGACTGTTTATAAGGCCTTTCTACCTCCTTCCACTTCTTCAGCTAGACTGTCCATAAGACCTTTCAGTCTTCTTCCGGTCTTCCAAGTGGCAGAAAAAGCGGAGAGTAATTTTATCTTACAGTAAATAGTTTTCCAAACATTCAAATGTTATCATTCTTAAGTTAGACACACTTACACTCTCTAGGATGGCTCTCCTAAATATGTCAATCCTGCGTGTCTCCAGTGCTATTCCAACAGCCTGTACAACAAAAAACATTTAATGCTCAAATCAAACCAATTTCTAATCTTCCTTGGTATCATCACATCTTTATCATATAATTTCAATTTACTTAATCACAAGATCTTCTTTATTAGCACATATATGACCTGGTAGAACGACCAACTGAATCTATCAATCTCTCCAATATTTCACCTAGTGCTGAAACCAATAGTAGATTTTAGTATTTGAATATTCATTAAATGTATTCAAATGGTACATTTGGATGGTAATGCTGACAAGTATGTATGTGTACATATACTCAGCTAGACACCTGTGTTATCTGAGTAATTATCATTGCTTCATTTAACTATTGAATGAAAAAGGAAAAATATTTCAGCAGTTTTGCATTTGATTTAAAAAAAGACATTCAATTAGAACAGAGAAATGCATTAAAAAACATCCTAACAGCAAGCCATAGAGCATGCTCATCTTTGTTTCATTGTCAAAAGAGCAATATTTGTTTGCAAATCTGGGAAATAATCCAGTTTTGATGTACAATGCAATGGACTTGTATATCTATGCCATATATTTCTATATCGACTCTGTAACATGCACCTATATGCTGATATAAAACAACCTTCTAACCAACAATGCTACACCTAAGCATCTCCACCACTCTTTACCTCAAAGTGACATTATTTCTGTCCAGTAGATGATTAATGTTGGTAGGATAAAACTACTCAGCATAGCTTACATTAAGTTTTAGAACTCTCTTAATTCAATCGGAAATATTCCACGACCCAGCTTAAATGGCTGTACATGTTTGCAACAGGGGATGTAAATTGTACAGAATACTTGAATACCATTACACTGTTTGAATGTTTGAGATATAAGTATCATTCATTACCATTTGAATATTCATTTCAGATCTAGTTACATTAATCTTTTCTATCAATTTTTTTAAAGTAGATTACTTTTTAATTTGGTTTTAATTAAAATAAAGAGTTATTCAAAACATGATATTTTCATAATGCACAGTCCCAACTAAAAGACACATGGACACTGGAGTTAATTTCTATAAAGGTCATGGTATCCTTTCGTGGACTTTTGCTCAGACACTCCGACTCTATACATTTGTTAGGCTTTCAAAGAAAAAAAGTTTCAAAAGTATAAGATAGCATACACAACAATTATCAACTCTATCTAACCTGTTTATACTGTTTGTCGTCAAAACACCTCTGGAACATCCTATTGACGATGGCCTCAAGGCGAGGATCAATGTCCTTTTTGTCATCACCTTGGCTGTCCGAGTTCCCCTGCATACCTTTTGTGTAGAAGTCAATACACTTGGCTACAAATCAAAATAGAGAATAATTATAACACAAAAATGGTAAAAAATTAAACAATGAAACCACAAACACTCCAGCATATGTTTCACGGGTATCTGGTGGTATTATACTGATATTTTACCTTACACTCTAACATCACAGACATATTATCTTTGATGGTTAACAAACACTGTATTCAAGCTTCCTATTGTGCTATTGTCAGCCATCATGGTAATATGCACTCACACAACAACATAAAATATTGACACACATGCAGAGATTAATCTACACAAATTTCACTACCATAAAAGGGTAATATTCCCCAAGTGGTATGTTTTCCCTTCTGAATATAGTCAAACTTTTCCCCAAAAAAGAGGTAAATGGTATATGTTTACTTAACATATTTTCAAATCATGTGTTCATGAGAGAGAAATATCATTCTAACCTCAACACTGTCATATTTTATTAATGTAATCTGCATGTATGTCATGGATTTGATCCTATCTCTCTTTCAAATTAAAACTGGAAAAAAAAATTAAAACTGGGCTGTTTGATAATTTTCCATTTCTCAAAATAGGCCCAAAATTCCCTTTTCCACAATAGGTAGTACTTTCCAAATTCTAGATTAACCCATGACATGTAAGCATGAACATAATACCCTTTTTCACAGGTATTACGTTATAGGAAGATAGACATGGACACTAAGACATTTTATAGAGTAACCAAGGAACAGGTTTTCTAGGGCAAAATTTATACTAAATGATTCCATACCAATTGTTGTCTCAACATATTCAGTTGTGTCATTGACGTTAAATAGAGCACCAGCTCCGAGGGCATATGTCAGAGATTCTTCAAAAGCTCCCAAATGGTAGTACACCTGAAATAACAACATTATTCAATGTAAAGATTGTTGTAAGATTCTAGATACCTGTTAAATTGTGAGACTGTATTTAAACCTTCTGTCAAGAGATGGTAATGAAAGACACCTAGAAATTCAATAAAGTTTTATTGTGCATTGAAAATATGGTTCTCTCCAATAAAAACAAATAAATGAAAAATGCTGTTTCACTTCAGTATCAACGTAATTGATGTTCTCTTACCTTATCAATTTGTAACATATGGCTTGTTTTTATGTTTTGTTTTTAATTTCTTACAAGTGTACTTCAAGGCAGGCGAGTGTAGAAAAATCTGATAATTCATTTTGCTTTAGATCCATAAATATGACAATCACTTTTACTTTTTACTGTGAACATGAAATACTATATACATATGTGAAGATGAAATATTATGAAAATCTTTCACTTTATTTGCCATATGAACACTATTTTGATTCATATTTTCAACATCTGTAAAATATTTTCTGAAAATTATCAAATCATTTCAACTAGCAATTACAAACCAAAAACAACCCCAATTTGTACAAATTACAACATAATGAACATCTTTATTGGAGAAACCAAGGTGTCTAGACTGTATATTTAGGCAGTAACAGAGGAAAACTTCACTCAAGACTTAATACGGATGTTGAATTGTTTCATGAATCAGTGCTTGAAGAAATACAGAATGTATTTGAAATGGCTAAAACTATACAACATAGCAAGATATCTTAAAGTATCAGACTTAGGGAAAGTTATTCACTGCTGAGAAAGTTTGGGGTACTTAGACAGAGGTTGATGAAGTTACCTCCTTACAACATAGCAAGATACCTTCATAAAGTACTAAACTTAGGGAAAACAAAGGCAACATACAGCTTGGGGTATTTAGGTAGTGACAGACCTAAAGAAAACTAGGGCAATGTACAGCCAAGAGAGTTTGGAGTGTTTAGGTAGTGACATGTGAAACTTTTCCTAATATTAAACCTAAAGAAAACTAAGGCAATGTACAACCGAGACAATTTGAGGCGTTTAGGTAATGACAAATGATTCTTAACAGATTATAAACATAAAACAAATAATTTTACGAGAGTTTGAGGTGTTAAGGCAGCATCAGATGAATCTTTACCTAGTAGTAAACCTAGGGAAAACTATGGCAACGTCTGAGTTGTTTAGGTAGTGACAGATAAATCTTCACCAAGTATAAACATACAACAAAGTTTACCTTTGAGGCCACCAGCGCTGCTAGCTCTTTGTTCTTAAATCCTACGTCTTCATAAAGAATCTCACTGGAAACAACACATAAACTGAAGGTTATAACAAATATGAACATTTAGTATTTCAGATTCTGTCCAATAATAGTGCTAAAACCTTACACATGTATTAGTATTCCTTGCTATATCACAGTTCTTTCTAATATATGTATCTACAATCTGTTTTTCAAATTTCATGTTTGCTCATATTTATTTATCAGCAAAGCTCACATCAATACTATGATAACTGTTATTCTTTTCATGCTGGCACTATCAAATAAAAAGAGATCCCTGAAGGATCTTGAGTGCCAATCGTTGTATGATCTTTATTAACTTATTAGTTAGATCTTTTCTTTCTAATTGGTCTCAAAAACAAATATTCACAAGCTCAGCTAAGGACCCCAGGGAATCAACAAATGAAATTTGAGAATAATCCATTAAACACTTCTAAAGAAACATTGACAAAATACCATATCTGTCATCTTTTAAGATGGCCGTCTGTCAATCATTCTGTTTTGCCCAATTAGTCCCAAAATGAAAAATGCACATGGACGAAGGGGAATTTCCTATAAAATTTTGAGAAGGATCCATCCAGAATTGTTCAAGAATGGATGGACAGATGGTGATATGAACATCCCGCCATCTGATGATTGTTGTGAATAATTAAGAGGTACTTACATCTTATCCACAGCTTCAGATATCTCTGCCCAAAAGACATCCACAATCTTATTTAGTTTCTCCAAAGCAAAAACCTGTTAAAACAATTATCATAATGAACAAAGTGAAAGTGTAACGGACTACCAAAAACTGTGATGGACTACCAAAAACTGTGATGGACTACCAAAAACTGTGATGGACTACCAAAAACTGCGATGGACTACCAAAAACTGTGATGGACTACCAAAAACAGTGATGGACTACCAAAAACTGTGATGGACTACCAAAAACTGTGATGGACTACCAAAAACTGTGATGGACTACCAAAAACAGTGATGGACTACCAAAAACTGTGATGGACTACCAAAAACTGTGATGGACTACCAAAAACTGGGATGGACTACCAAAAACTGTGATGGACTACCAAAAACAGTGATGGACTACCAAAAACTGTGATGGACTACCAAAAACTGTGATGGACTACCAAAAACTGTGATGGACTACCAAAAACAGTGATGGACTACCAAAAACTGTGATGGACTACCAAAAACTGTGATGGACTACCAAAAACTGTGATGGACTACCAAAAACTGTGATGGACTACCAAAAACTGTAACAGTCTTTATATGGTTTATTGTATATTGTTTACAGAGTGATGAACAGATATTTGATCAAACCACCATTTACTAAGTAGACATGTATGTCTTTCAATCTCACATAAATACTTGTTACATATGTAGTAATACTCTACTTTTAGGTTTTTATGAGTATATTTGATCTGTCAAGTGTTTTTGTGGCAGACTATCAAATTTTGATTTGTTTATTCATTTTTATTTGTTTCTATATCTTCACCAAGTGTCTATTATTAAATACCACTCAGTGTAGTTAAGTGGAAGTTTACAAAGATATTTTCTGAATGACAGAAATTTGCCAAATGATGTGTATATTTATGGCCAGGTGAACTATTTCACCTAATTCAACAATGTATTTTATTTCATTGATATAACATGTTATAATTGTATTCTTTTAATTATTTGACTTCTGTTATATAATTAGTGCAGATCAAGTTGTGTATTGTAAAGTTATTATGCAAATTAGGGTCTGTGAATATATTGATGAATTTATTAGTGTATAATTGCAGTGCACCTATATTATGTGTAATGCAGACTATGGATTTGTTATATTTATATATAGGTACTGGTGATGTATATGGAAAGTGGTTCCCAATTTACCTGAGTATCAGTGTTGTATATGTTCTATGTATAGGTTGGTCATGTGACCTACCTGCCTATGTATTGTCCAGTATTACCTGTACTGTCCATGTCTTGTCTGCATGATATTTGTATGTAATTTCCATAACTAACTTGACCCTTGACATGACCTTTTAATTGACCTTTTATTTTATTGGTTGTGTTTTTGGAGGGAAAGTTCTTTGTGTAAATTGTTCTGAGCAGAAGGAAAAGAGCTTTGGCTAGTGATAGGTGTGGTTTGCACCTCTCTGGAATTTATTCCTTATTTCCCTTGTGAGAGCCAGCTTAATTAATGTTACTCTAATAATGTGATACAACAACTGTCCTTTGTTTAAACTGATCTTAACTGATGGGATTGAGGCATGTGATCCTCAACCCATAATCGAGGTAAGCACAATAGTTATTTTATTGTAATTTACATTTTAGTAATTGTACTTTAATTTATATGTGAAATGTGATTATATACTATGAATAGCAGGATAGTGAATTCTATTGTTTCGTAGTATTCATATTGTAAATTGTATATTTGGTAAAGGTATAATGTAGATACGGATCATATCCAATATCTTGGTAATTGCTCTATATCTATATCTGTATTGTCTGCAGTTTAGACATGTGGATAACCTCCCCTTGTAGTATCAGATTTAGGGATAATACTTGTCCTTGTGTTTCATAGTATCAATATGTTATTTATCATTGACAAGTAAATATATGTATATAATAATGCTATTGATAGTGATGTAGGTTGATATTGTTAGCATTATATTGAGACATGTATTTTAATTGTGTATTGTAGGTTCTTTGTACGCCTTCCTTTAAATAACTACTACAGGGCTTGTCTATTATTGATGTACCTTCAACTAAGACTCTCTTCAATAAACAAACAAACCTGATCTAGTTGTTCTAGTCATTCTTTACAAGACCCCAGTACAACCCGGTTACATATTGAGGCTTTAATGTGTAAACCATTATAAATTTGTACATCAATCCCATTCCCACATAATGGTAAAAAGACCCAGTTCCAATGCTATACATAATAAGTACAGACCTTTAACTGTGGTTCAGGTTCATCCAGCAGGGAGATAACTCCAGCTGAAAACAAATCAAATCAAAGAGGAAATAAACTTCAATGTTTTACATGTAACTGTACTTAAAAGACATGTTCTTGAATGATAAATAGATAACATTCACAATCTTATTTATACAAAGACGATAAAATCCTGATTTGTGTACTATTTTAATTTTCATCAATACAGTTTTATTGTGTCTTTGTCACAAAATCATACACACACATATCTGTGCTCATTTGTCGGCATTGTTAAATATGTTCAAATATATTGGACAATAGAATAAATAATTGATATCAAAATGTTCTTTAATCGCTCAAATTTGGCTTCATCAACATTATGAAATACCAACTCAACTACCAAATGACATCATCATTTTTATAGTGGTTTAGCAATTAGCAAAGTCATCTTCAAATCATTGTCTGATCTACAGCCATTGAAAAGAGATTGTAATTAAGTGTGAAGGAAAATAAGAATACAACCATGAAGCATATTTATCGAATTTTGCGAATATATGTGTAGGTCAAAGAGTAAGATAAGTAGTACCACACACCACGAACAAAAACCGTAAAAACGAAACTAAAATGATAAGATAATGATAAGTAAAAGTGTGAAATATGACTGAGAGCCACTGGAATAATTACATTCAACAAAATAGTTTTTATTGTTCAAGTACTACTAATTGGTATTTGAAAAGTAAAGTCGATACCGTTTCATAGTTTAGTCATGTAACGCTTTTTGTTCAATTTTACTATTTGTACGAGAAACATCTCAGTCATGCCAGTATCATCGATTCAAAGGAAGTTATGACTATTCATTAAACAAAAGATCAATTAAATATCGCTCTTATTTCATTCTTACCTGCTGATGTGATGTTCATCTTCATTTTGTTGTTTTAAATTCACCTGAAATGTTTTATTATGATCCCAATGACTTGACAACTTCGGATCTCACGCCGGTTTAGTGTATTTCCGGTTGTCCTCGTTTTGGCGCAAACGAAACCGGAAACCCGTGTGTAAAACAAAATTGCGAATCTGCCAACTAATATCATGCGGAAGAATACCTTGAAGTTAAGATACCTATCTAAATATTCGAGACTTTTCTGTTTTCTTCTTCAACACACCGACATATAGATATATAATTGATTGATGAGGTCGACAAAGAAACATATATTAAAAAGAAATAATTTAAGGATAGGAGATCATGCATCTTATCGGGTTAACAATTCATCTTTCATTTATATTTTTTAATTAACAATTATCACAAATCCCTTCATAGTTTGCTATTGCTCTTGAATAACTCGTGTCAATATTGCCACTGCTTTCTTGGAATCTGATGAAGGATGTCCCTAAGTGTCTGACTACTACTCGAATATAAAGCGGCCCGCGCGCACATTTCTGACAACGTCTCGGTCATCAGCAAAAGCGAGTTGGTATTTTAACACATAAAGCTCTTCATCATTGACCGGAGTCCTAGAAGACGAAACAGCTGTATGATGCATTTTTAACTGTTTGGCTCTACGATATTTTATCTAACTTCCTATTCACGTGTGAGTCTGTTGTACGTGAACCTTTTCATCAATATTTGCCTGAATAATGATCATGTGATAAAAATGATATTAAATTCTTTACTCGGCAATTAATTTGTGATTTACTTGTCTTTTTTAATCTCGCCTGTTATAAATCACATATCCAGATATATGATACTGATGTAAGATCATATTCAGGATATATAACGTGTAACTTTGAGTGTGTACAATTCTACAATATGGTCACGACCTGAATTCATAAGTAGGCAATTTCTTTTTTAGAGAAGATAGTCTAATTCGACAGTAGCTTAATACACACATTGTATATATGTATTGTCTCCGTCCTGGGTTTGGTATTCATCACGGCGGAGGAGATTCTCGCCGAAAGGGCGAACACAGTTCATTCTGACGTGGGAAGTGATGACAGGTATGAGATTAGCAATGTACACACAATTGGAGTCTGACTACGTTAACCTGATTACGTACGGATTAGTACTTAGTGGAAGATTAGAATCGGTAACTTATCTAACCAATAGAAGTAAAGTTCTTATAACACAACCAGTGGAAGATTAGAGTATGACGTCTCGATGGCTACACAGTCACCTTCATCGACAAATGACTTGTATGAAACGCGTTAGCACTGACGTACGTAGTGTGCGAGATGGTAAGGAATCGACCAACTTTTCCGGCTGTACTAAATCCTATGTACATTAAGGTCGAAATAAGAGTGACGAGATGGTAAACGGATTACAGAAATAAGATACATACTATTGTAACAATGTACTGTAGTTAATTCGGCTACGCTTTGCTTGGTCATAGATGTGCGAGAGTCTGAGGTCGCCCTTGTCAATTTCTAAAACTGACCCGCTGCAGCATATCGAGACGTCCTACCGCCTAAAAAGATTGGTCTTCATGCAGACTGTTTTGGAATTTTCCCAGGCAATGATATTTGATATTTAATTGTGTGGAATCGTCTGTAGGTTGCAATATATGTCGCGTGACATTTCTTTCATCCGATTTTGTCTACGCATTCAACAACGTTCTCTTTTGGGAGTTCTTCCTTAAGATGAATTAAGACATTACAGTGAGTCTTATCAGACTTCATGGCTGGTGCAATACCATGACTACGGTCAATTGTCTGAATGGTTTCTGACAGTCTTTAGTAAGGGGTGATGATTGTTCCTCGGTGTTTCATCTCTTAGTCGTTTTGCTTTCATCAATCTTTTAACTTTCTGGTTTGCCATATCAGGATATTCACATGTTTTCATGATTTTGTTCTGGTTTCTTGTCTTGTTCTTCAATCGTTTCACATCTGTTGAGAAAGATTCATACAACGCCTATCTTCTAGAGACAGGGATGATACGATCAGAAGCTGAGAAATTGGCCCGTGTGCATATTTTCCTATAGCCAAATACTTTGATAGTACTGTCATATTTCTAGGAAATGTCAATGAACGACATAGCGCCATCGATTTCTTCCCCACAGCTAAATTTGATGCTGTTAGTGGTATCTACGTTATTGATATGCTTCGCCCAATCCTTCTGTAATCCTTTCTTATCTGTTTCCAGTATATTGTAAACATATATTTTCAATATCTTTTTCGATCAGGACGATAGACATACTTCCTGCTAGGTCTGTCGAGTTTTTGACTTGATGTTCTGATTTCCCTCCTTTTGGTTGTGTTAGAAGAACTTTTATTCTATTGACAATACCAACCTGCAGAAATCCGAAATATCATCTACTTAATAATGTTCCTGGTTGTGTACGTTGTGTAGTGTTTCAGACAAGTTTTGATAAAATTATAGATTGTTTGTATGAAATCTATTGTCAGGATATCTGTAAATGATACCATTATGTGTCTGATAAGTTCTAAGTTAGATACATTGAATACATATTAGAACAAGTTGAGTGGAGTCAGTTGGATGTGTCTTGTCCATCTCACACAACGAGAACATTTAACATTATCCTTATTAATGCCTCGCAAAAACAAAAACAAAAACAAACAAAAACAAAAAAACAAAAAAAAACTACAGTATATCTCCAACGCAAAGTACATGTATTTGGACGTCAATCTTCAGTAAAATCTGATGGCTTTTATAGTTGTTCTTAAGCAAATATCAGATTGGGATTCAAAACTATCAAACATGACATATACCTCATGTTTAAAATCGAAATGTGCGACAAAGAACAGCCCATTAGAAACACACGAAAGGTTGGCATCAATATTCCTTTCAATTAGCACTTCTACGGAAAGAGAATTATCAGTTTGTTGTATAGTGAGATGCTAATTACAACATCTTCTCAAAATAATACCGATTCACAAATCTATTTGAGACAATTTGACTTTCCCCAGTGTCGTTCTCTCCTGCCAATTATCATCAGCTTATTGGACAGTATCCAAAAGCCATGAACATCGTAATAAATGCTAGTTTTATTCAGATGTGTCCTATGAACACTATTATTCTAAGTTGCTAATGCTAAATACCATTTAGGTGATTTATTACTGTAAAACAACGGTGTTTTATTATTCTTAATCACCGTAAAAATTATACAAAGATACACAAGTATAGCCAAAAATGAAGTGAAGTGCATCACACAGCTGTTTCGTCTTACAAGACTCGTCAGTGAAGGGCCTAAATTGCTGAGACCAAGAAGGTGACTGAGTAGTTCAAAATTTGGCAAAATAAATTTTAAAAACCGGAACAATAGGGGAGTTAAATCCTGAATGTGACTCTTTCATTATTTTAGGTATCTCATTATTCTAGAAGAATGCTAAGTACATGTGTATAGTGAAGTATTTTCTACCGAGAAGCCTCACAAGCCAATACTATATTCACTGTAGGACAGCTGTACCAGAGGGATCACTGAGACTCCTTGTGGAATCATTGTTGGACAGGATTGAACGACAAGACTGCAACAGATAGAGAAGACCATTGAAGACAATAGATAAGACTTGAGACGTAAAGACATAAATAACCTGGAGAGAAATCTTGACGAAATGCAAGAAGTGTCGCGTCCAATAGCAGTTTTTGTTGACAAACGCCATCAGAACGATGCTTCGGACAACAATATCAACAATAATTAGTACTCATAGGCAATACCGACGGCATAGGATCTAGTAAGAAAACATAAGATATCAAGCGCAATGACTCTGGTACGCAGGGACTTGAATTCCAAATCCACGGACCATACAAATGAAATTAAACGACTTTGCAAGGTTTTGTAAACTCTTTTGTTAAGTTGGTTCTCGTTTGAGGAAGTAACAGTACTTGTGCTCGCCAATATCTACACAGCGAATGTATTCGATGAAGCAGAAGAGGCTGATAGCTTATCAACTCAGTCCAGAAGTACTTATTTGTGTTGACCAAGATTTACATGACGGATGTCGTCGATGAGGCAAAAGACGCTTACCATTCTGGAACACGTGGCCTTATTCTCTTAGTACTTTTTTCATGGGTTCACATGTCTGTATGTTTTAGTTCCTTTTGATATTTTGAATGCATTTATCGCCATTTAGAAGCAGCATCGCGTTATAATATAAAACGTTCACGCAATTACGCTAAAGTTCACGTTATAACTAAGACAATGTGTGAAAGGAGATTTCTTAGGCATGTACTTTATCCAAAATATGTCCAACATCGAAAGGAGGCATACATGTGAACAAGAAAAAATTAGAAATGGAATATTCCATAAAGTATTGTAAGAACAAGGTAAGAGGTCATACGAACGACACCATGTGATCGGAAAGCATCTTCCTGGAACAAGACTAATTGTAAGAGACACCGACACCGTTACCATTGTAATTAACATGGTTTGGTTGACAAAAAGCGTTTGTCATGTTTTTATAAGGTGACTTATAATTGGGTTATCGTGTAATGATTTCACGATGACTAGATCACAGGTAGAAAGTCCTTATCAGCTTGGACAGGAAAATTACAGATAATGTGAGATAATGTGGTTTAATATGTTATATATATCATAATGTATTTGTTGTGTTTCGCCCTCGTCCTGGGTATAGGGGTCCATGGAACAGCGGGGGAAAGTTTGGCTGAGAGGGATGTTATGTACAGCAATCCATCCGATGTTTGGATGGACAACAGGTACGTGTAAAAAACAAGATATGTTATAAATGATAAATTTTGTTTGGCAGTAGTACTACATACAGTCTATGCAAATTACTACTAGTGAATAGATTACTGTTTCAACAATTTATGTCTGTATCAGGACTGACGAATCCCAGAAGGATAAAAAAAAAACCTGCATAGTGCAGTTTGGTTTATCAATACGTCTTACTAGAATAAGCCAATGATTGATTGAAATAGCTGTTAGTCACCCTGTCATAAATCACAGTATAATTGCTGTTATTGTCGTGATTAACGGTAGGGCGGCGCCACCAGAGAAATCCCTAAGACGTCTGGTAGAGTCTTTGTTGGAAAGGATGGAGAGCCAGGACAATAAGATAAAGCTGCTGGAGCAGAGGGTCAAGGACAACGAAGAGGACCTGAATCGGAAAGAAATCCGTATCAGTCACCTGGAGCAAGAGCTCAAGTCGGTATCAAAGCAATCCCAGGATTCAATTGATAATCTTCAGACTGAGGGTCCCGAGGATACGAACGAAACCCGATCTAGATTTATATCAACAGAAAAACGTGGAGATGAACATCATTCTAGGATAGGTAAGTTCCCTTTTTATGTTAAAACATGGCATGATATACCAGTTTAAAAGTTTGACGCCACGACAATTAAACTGTGAGACAACTAAAGATTAGGAGATCTCTTGGAGCTTTATTGTGTCTCCAGATGACCGATATACATATGTGTCTTTCCGTTCGTTTGGATTTTAGAAGGTAACTCACAAATGGCCTTTAAGACAAATTGTTTTATGTAAATGTTTCACCTACAGTCGCATGGACACCTGGATTTTATTTATTTTACTTGGTAAACACGATTGAGTTCTAAACTGACTTGAAGTTATCTTTTTCAAACAATACTTAGTTTCCTGAGTTTGCATGCTAACTACCTTTACCAATTTTCCATTGCCGGCCATGCATTTATTTCATCTTACGTATACAATTTTCATTTTGTCAAAACTATGCTCCTTCTTGTCATTACTTACACCTGTACTTGTTCAACCGTAGCTGATCAGGGTTTATAATCCAGGATGTTATCCTGAACACCTGAACTTCAGAAGTAGGTGACATGTAACCATTCTTCATCGTCTTTACAGTCAGAGTGTCACCTAACGGAGTGGGAGCATTTAGTGTTTCTTTGAGTGGAAGAGATTTGAATTTACAACCAAGCTTAGTGATAGCATTTGATGAAATCCTGTTGGACGTTGACGGAAATTATCACCTTGGAGACGGCGTGTACAGAGTTCCGGTGACTGGGGTGTACGTGTTCACCTGGTGTACCACTGGAACCACCACAGACAACGTGGTTACGGAACTGGTTGTTAACGGAACACCGCGAGGAACAATATTTTCGGATGCAGAAACAGGACATGCGTGGGACAGCAGCACCGGGGTTATCGTGACGTTAGTCAGTGAGGGAGATCACGTGTTTATCCGATCTAAATTTAGTGGCGTCATCCACAGTAGTGACGTGTATGGTAAATCAATGTTCTCCGGATGGCGTCTGTCTTAGACAACAGACTTACTGTACGTTGGATTGCAATCTTTGATTATAGTACAGCCTAATCTCCGCCATGACTACCTCCACCATAAGACGATCTATTATAGTAGTGATAAGTATAGCATTCTGATTTCGGTATGAATTCAACCTGTTTTGAATCCTTCTGCAGTTTAAAGAGACTACTTCTATTGATGAATGCATTCGTTGTCTCTGAATATCTGGTTGAAATGTCGCCGATCAATTTCGGGCGTTTGAAATTCGTTAAATACCATTATACATTTTCCTTGAACAGATCCAGATAATTTATAAAGGTTTAATGCACGCAACATTGTTACTGTCTTGGCATTGGTCAATGAATTATATGTGTAGTAATACAATACAATTAACGTTTTCTGTCTATTTTATTACTGTGTTTGTTCAAGAGTCTTCAATAGATCAGTGTTCTAAAACAGAACACACATAATGTATACCATGATGTTCATCCTTTACAAAACTGGTCTGATCACTGGCTAACACAGTTTAATCCTGCAAAGACGAGAGCTGATGTCTGATGACTTACCTATAATTACTTCCCTTACCACATGATTGTATAACTGAGTTGTAAAATATATCAAGCCTTGTACAAAGTCAAAAATTCTGACATCAGTTTGACATTCCTATCTCCGTATCCTCGTCATTTGATCGAATGAGAAAGATTTCCTCTTGTCAGTGTTTTTAACTTCTAACAACATACATATATATACAATGTATTGGTATATAAGGGTCATCGGGTCATGACCTTCAGTTAAGGGTCATCGGGTCATGACATTCAGTTAAGGGTCATAGGGTCATGACCTTCACTAGAAGTTGATGGATAATGCTGATTATCATATGATTGCTTATTGTTGTTAAAGAACTGGTATCTCGTGTGTTCTTCTGAAAATACTGAATTGTTTATCAAAGAACAATGGCATGGCGATTTTATCTAGTCCTCGCGATGATGAGTGTGGTCATTTTCCGCAGCTTGGACAGGTGATCGATAGCAGCACGTGCCCTCACGTGATATTGGTCAGCTGTACATGATAGTGCACGTCAGTGTATTGTTTCCACCATGAGATAGTATGTATCTAGGTATAACTTAATGTCTGGTATAATTAGCGTAAGGAACGCTGTAGAGAAGAAATTTCCCGATTTTAGCATTTGTTCCTATGTACAGACCAAGAAAAATGGTAAGTGTGCGTGTGTATACATTTATCGATTAACAGTTCAATACGTTTGTGATTGTCTATTCCTAATCAATTTCCTATCATAATGGAGCAACACTTATATATTGTATTTCATTTGGTTTTGACTAAATATCAAAGATTTCATTCATTATTGTTGAAAATAGTGTAATGATCTTTTTTCATATGATTTCTATTGTTTATGTGAAAGGAATCTATCATAACGACTTTGTGATAACAAGTAATATTGATATGTTAAATATGAGACTGTAAATTGTTTCGGCTACTTCCGGTATGTGTGTGTGTGTGTGTGTGTGTGTGTGTGTGTGTGTGTGTGTGTGTGTGTGTGTGTGTGTGTGAGGGTGTGTGTGTGTGTTAGTTATATCTATATAATATAGATTGGTTAATACTTCCGGTGTGTCTTACAAACGATATTTTTGTGTCGTTATTGCCATCGACGTTTTTATGAAAAAGAAATAAGTGTATAATCACAGGGATTTGACACGATTTCTCGACCCACTGTCCACATATATGTAATCTCTATCGTACGTGTATATATATATTATGGACCATGGGTTGGGAATTCGTGCCAAACCCCTGTGTGTATAATGTAAGTCAGTCATTGCCAGACGTTTCGTTGAAAGTTTGTATGAACTCTTTATTTCCTTTTTATATTTACGTGTAATAAACGGTCCATCTTTGTGTCTGTTCTATAGACTGTAATTAGAACAGGATAACATTCGTTCATACGGCCATGAACACATAGCCGCTAAAATTGAGGTAGTTTTTAGTGTTTAACACTATTCATAGTTTCAAATGTTAGAGGAAGGAGTTGTAAGATAAAACAAAACTCCAGAATTAGTTTACTTAGAAAGGTTAGATTCACTTTTGACCAAGTGTTAACAAATGTTGAGTGCTCACGAGATATGTGTCTGTTACCATGGGTACGTATGTTTAGAGTACACGGACAGATAGCGGGTCTACCGGCGATTTACTGATTCTAAGTTGTTAGGTACATATGTACCTTTTGAAAACTAAAGTAATGCTTTCACACTTGAAGCTATTACTCATCTGACAAAACAACGTAAACAGTTTTAATCCAGATGTGAAAATGATCTCAACACGAATTCTCTGATTACGAGAAAGTGTTTCACTGACAGCAACAACATACTATAATGTCTGCCTGCTATAGCCCGTGTGCGACATATATATATGTGTTGAATTCCATCTCGTGCACTCTTGATTGATTTACAAATGTAAATGATTTCTCCATCTTGACTGCAAATGAAAATGACGTCACGCTTTCCGTCAGTGGCGTTAGTTGTTATACCGGAGTTATATTACAAGCCAATAGGACTGTGACAGACGTTGTTCTAACTCGTAAGTATCATAGGAGTCAATTTTATGATTTACATTTCTGTCGTGTAATATGACAAGTATGATATTATATGACTGTTATGATACGTGATACAGTTATGTTTTATCTTAACATCTGCAGAATACTTGCTTTACCAATCTTTGTGTCCAACATTTCGTAGTTTATAGAAAATAGGGATATTTTAACCCCAGATAGATAATAGAATCTTATTGAGTAAGAGAGAATAGCTATATATTTTGATCTGGTTTAAACCCTTCTAAGGAAATCGCGGAAAGCTTTACATTTAATTTCTGGGTTTAAACCAAGTAAGTAAGTAAAGACAACTATATGTCTTATAACAAGGTTTCAAACTCTAGTTAAGTAATTGCGGGCACCTATATTTCTTATAACAAGGTTTAAACTAAAGTTAGGAAATTGTGGACAGCTATATATCTTTAACTATTATTAAATAACTGTAGACAGCTATATATCTTATAACAATGTTCAGATTCTAGTTAAGTAACTGTGGACAAGGTTTAGATTCTAGTTAAGTAAATGTGGACAGCTATTTATCATATAATAAGGTTTAGACTCTAGTTAAGTAAATGTGGACAGCTATTTATCATATAATAAGGTTTAGATTCTAGTTAAGTAAATGTGGACAGCTATTTATCATATAATAAGGTTTAGACTCTAGTTAAGTAAATGTGGACGGTTACTTATCTTATAACAAGGTTTAGACTCTAGTTAAGTAAATGTGGATAGTTATTTATCTTATAACAAGGTGTAAACTCTTGTAAAATAAATGAGAACAGCTATATATCTTATAACAAGGTTCAAATTCTAGTTAAGTAACTGAGAACAGCTATATATCTTATAACAAGGTTCAAATTCTAGTTAAGTAACTGTGGACAGTTATATATCTTATAACAAGGTTTAGACTCTAGTTAAGTAACTGCGGACAGTTATATATCTTATAACAAGGTTTAAACTCTAGTTAAGTAACTGTGGACAGTTATATATCTTATAACAAGGTTTAGATTCTAGTTAAGTAACTGTGGACAGTTATATATCTTATAACAAGGTTTAGACTCTAGTTAAGTAACTGTGGACAGTTATATATCTTATAACAAGGTTTAGACTCTAGTTAAGTAACTGCGGACAGTTATATATCTTATAACAAGGTTTGAAACAATCTAGTTAAATAACTGTGGACAGCTATATACCTTCTAACAAAGTTTAGACTCAAGTTAAGTAACTGTGGACAGTTATATGTCTTATATCAAGGTTTAGACTTTGCACCACATGTGGCTAATTATACAGGTATATTTCAGTTAAAAAGTTATAACATTAGAAAATTGTGGACATCTATATATTTATAAGTTTAAACAGTAGTTAGAAAATAAAATGAAATGTTTTACTTTGACCATGCTTTCTGAAAGAGGATATAATGATGTCAATTAAGGTTGCACAAAAATAAAGTTCGGATAATCCTGATTTTATTTTAGCTCTTAACCTTTCGCGAGTTTCGATTTCAAATTTTCAGATGAAGCCCGAGACAAGATGGAGGAGAATGTGTTGGATTGTCCCAGTGATAGCGTCTGTTCTTATATTCCTGGCACTGCTGATGGTCTTACTATTTAACACCAAGGATCACACACCTTCCACAAGTATGACCACGTTAACAAACCTAACACAAGTATGACCACGTTCACACACCTAACACAAGTATGACCACGTTCACACACCTAACACAAGTATGACCACGTTCACAATCCTTTCACAAGTATGACCACGTTCACACACCTAACACAAGTATGACCACGTTAACCAACCTAACACAAGTATGACCACGTTAACAAACCTAACACAAGTATGACCACGTTCACACACCTAACACAAGTATGACCACGTTCACAAACCTTTCACAAGTATGACCACGTTCACACACCTAACACAAGTATGACCACGTTCACACACCTAACACAAGTATGACCACGTTCACACACCTAACACAAGTATGACCACGTTCACACTCCTAACACAAGTATGACCACGTTCACACACCTAACACAAGTATGACCACGTTCACACACCTAACACAAGTATGACCACGTTCACACACCTAACACAAGTATGACCACGTTCACACACCTAACACAAGTATGACCACGTTCACACACCTAGAACAAGTATGACCACATTAACAAACCTAACACAAGTATGACCACGTTCACAAACCTTTCACAAGTATGACCACGTTCACAAACCTTTCACAAGTATGACCACGTTCACACACCTAACACAAGTATGACCACGTTCACACACCTAACACAAGTATGACCACGTTCACACACCTAACACAAGTATGACCACGTTCACACACCTAACACAAGTATGACCACGTTCACACACCTAACACAAGTATGACCACGTTCACACACCTAACACAAGTATGACCACGTTCACAAACCTTTCACAAGTCTGACCACGTTCACACACCTAACACAAGTATGGCCACATTAACAAACCTTAAACAAGTCTGACCTCGTTCATAAACCTTCCGCAAATATGACCTGGTTAACAAATCTCCCACAAGTATTATTACGTAAATAATTTTCTTTTTAAATATAGAACAATACTTGACCTGTTTTATCGAAGCAGAACGTTGTTACAGCCATATCATATTATATCTATGACCTTGTTTATAATCAGATTCAGAAGTAATTCAAACAACATATTGTTGTCTTTTTATTTCAGAGAAGACGTTCATTTGTGATGTTAAGAACAGGGACGCTATAACTTTTCAGAGTAGTATTGTGATAACGTGTAGCCTTAACACTATCTTTATCAATCAGACTTTACATATACGTTTCGTAATGATAGACTCTTTAGCGGAACCGGAAACAGAAATATTCAAACTATCTGATAACTGCACACTTAGCAGCAGATTATGGAATATTTTATTTAGTGCACGTGGAAACAAGGTGACCTTGACCAGAAATGCGGTCACGTGTGCAGGAGCCGGAAAGTACCAGGCGGACATCAATATCGGTGTCGAGAGAGACAGAATCGATGTTGACATCAAAGGTAAAACTTTATTTCTGTGTCAATGTTTCGTTTATCTTCACGGGTACGATAATTCATTAAACCCACAAAGCCAACAGCCGCCCACCATCCGCTCTTGTTCTCCTGCATCATAATTTCGTTTATTTTCACGGGTACATTGAACTCACCAAGCCCAGAGCCGCTCAACCTCCATTCTTTTTTCCTACATCATAATTTAGATAATTTTGCGGACACACGATGCATTTCATGTCAATATTTCCAATAGGAACGCGTGGTACTTAATCGATCGAAATACTCACTATCTCATATTTTAGAAAACAAATCATGTTACGGGGAGCATGTTCTGTTCTTGAATTGAAATATTGTTAAATTTCGATCTTTGCAGATACTCTAACTGAAACCTCCATTTTGCTGTCCCGTGATTTGGAAGATTTTGGCGGGAATCTGTCGTATGGAGTGACATGCTCTCTACGTTCCGGTTGTTATCCGGCCCTCGTCACTCTTTTGGGTAGTCAAGGCAACACAGTGATACCCGTTCATGACGTAAATCTCACGTGCATATCACTGTACAGTGGTGAAGAAGGCTGGTCTACGGAATGTTACGGTGTTGTCATGGAGTCGACCTTGAGGTCAATGTCCGGTCTGATGTGCCGGCCATATCCATCTATCTCATCGGACGGGCCTTCTGTACCTACGAAAAGTCTGTTTCTGTCAGGTACATTAGCGTTACATGTATTACAAAACTATCATCAATATAGCATTAACTGTAATGGAACATTAATGAGTACAACGACAAATGTAACACATGTATTTTAATGCATTTTTATATGGTAATTTGTCACTAAAGCATTAATTACTGAGGTTGAGAGTTTAGAATTTGTTCCTTATAAATGGCGCAGTATGTGTGTCAGGAAGTTGAGGAATTAAATGGTCGATCGGTTCTGTTTTAGTTGTATCCTTGAGTCGCTTTACTCCAAATCGATTCGGAGAGTTTGCAACAAACGTCCTTATGTTGCTAGTGACGTAGCGACCAGCTACTACATGGCGACCCCGTCTTAAAATGACCCTTATTGTTCACAGGGCGATCAACCCGGCAAACAACCTCGAACTGAAAATTTTCAACCTGCATTCTCTTTTAGTTTTAAGTGGGAACGTTATGGTATACAGTATGATACTAATGATACAAAAGTTGATAAGTATTAGTGATAGGTGTTTTCGGTTCTTTCTCCGTTTGTATTACAGAACCTCCACCTGAGTGTAAGAGCTCGGCGACTGGGAGGATGTTTCCCGATTCCTGGAGCTGTGGGGTTTACCATTTGTGTGCCACGGAGTCCGTGCTGATGACGCAGCCATGCAACAAAGACAAATACTTTGATTTACAGACGTGTACCTGTCGGAACACTGATCAAGTCTCCGAGTGTGATCAATACGGAAAAAGGGTCTATCAAACAGGAGTTTCGTCATGCATTCCGAACAAGTGATAACGCTTTAAAGACGATGACAAATGAAACGTTAGAAATAATATACTCGATCGCCATACCTTCATGAACTCAATGCTGTTTGAGTGGCGACTAGTAACATAACGTATTTATTGATGTTTTTTTTATCGAATCATATTTTATATTTCGGTGTGTATTAGTGTTATTTACCTGTACACAATTTCACACCTGTGTAGACTTCAGGAGTCGATCGAGACGACTTCACTGCTGAACCAATATGCTAGATCATAACTTGTATCTGATAAGTACATGGAGTAAACAAATGGAATCCCATAACTCTTTGATATTTTCGAGATGACTGTGGAAATATTTCATCTAAGACCGTGAAATAATGTAACCTTTCATGCACAGGTATTGTAAATGAAATAAATGTGTAACTAGCGAGAGAGAGCGAGAGAGAGAGAGAGAGAGAGAGAGAGAGAGAGAGAGAGAGAGAGAGAGAGAGAGCTACACAGACGTTTTTGTGATTGGAGACGATGTAAGAATTATTAAATTGATATTCACACTTCATTTCACATCTCAATCAAACAACGATGCAGAAGTATGCGGTCCAAGAACTTTGCAGCTGATAGCAGGGATCTAAAAACTGTGCTACCGTAAATATGGTCAGTTGTTCGAAGGACACGCTATAAAAACCACAACTGAGAACCCCTTTGTTTTACCTGGACATGTGTGAACTACAGACATCTCTTTCATGGGCTAGCTTCTCATCGTCGGACTCTATGTCCTATATGATTTCACACATTACTGCAGTCAATATACGAAGAGATCATCTGATTTGGTCAGGGGCGTATGATAAGGACACTCCGGTTTACTTTAAAAGTGAAGAGTCAAGAGAGCGCTGTCGTGTCACATCAGTTCAAACTAAGGGCGATAACTCACACAGTTTTCACTACAAACACCTTGTATGCAAATGAGTCCACACCCTGCCAGGCGACTTCAAGAAGCAAACATAAGTAATACGCCAAAGGGTGGATGGTGGGTGTGTCCTTGCTTACAATGGGCTTTGCTTGTTCAATTGGCACTTTGTCGAGATCAGTACATTCTTGCTTCCAATCGGCAAGGAACCTTATCACAATACAAGTGATAAAAGGTTGGACAGTTCGCGGAATCCTACCTTAATAAGCAATTTATTTAACACTGCTCACACCTGATAAACGTATCCGTTCAGACAATCGAATTTGAAGATAGTGTGTAACCAATGCGCCACCCGACCAACCTTGTGATGTTGGTCGGGTGGCGCATTCAACGGTGTCCAGAAGGAAAAGAAGTTGATGACGTCAAACATTGCTATATGTGGATATGTCGTCGTGTGTCTTGTTAAAATCTTGTACAATTTAAGTAAGATTGAAAAAAAAAAACGAAAACAAAAATAAAAAAACAAAATACGCTTCAGTGAATTCATCGATTCGTCGTTTAAAATGTGCATTTTTTATCATATTGCTCGCATTTAGGCAGTGACTATTTCATATGACCCGTACACTCATGGTTATACGTAGATATATGTTGTAGCCTCCGAAATAGTACGGTACATAACATATCGGACCAAAACTAATTGATATTTGCCGTTGGCATTGTCTGGGTACAATCGATCCCTTCTCGTTCTTTAGGCATATCTGACGATCACGAGAATACACTTGATGACCATGAGGACACACCTAATGACCATGAGTGAGGGCAACGTCTCTCAGAAATCGGTTGATGGATTAACTTAAGTCTTACTGCAGTTCAGACACAATAAACTACATGGTAGATGATGTTTTTTCATGACCTGAAAATCACCGGGAATGCGGTGTTGGAATTGACCCTCTAAAGCCACTGATATTAGCTCTGCTATTGTGGTTGTCAAATGCACTGAACGCGTGTTTATTTGAAATTCAGGTTTTTGTGAAATCGGTGAAAAGTCATCATCGACACAGAACATCATGGCTGATCATTTTTTAGTTACAGATTCTGACTTTTGTTTGATAAATGTGATATTATCTATACAAATACGTCTGCAGTGTACAGAGCTGATACTTATGTCGAATTGAGCACTGATCAATATAAAGAGGTATATATGTAATGTTGAACTGTGCTACCCAAATTATTTATACTTTTTAGCATGAACTCTCTTCGGGGAAAAAGTTGCAGTTTTTAGGAGTGCCTATTAACTTTTATTTAACGAAAGGCTGATAAGACAGCAATATATCAAGGAAAGCTCTTAGTACCATTCTTACATCAACACGCCCATGACACTAAATGTACCATATCTGCAATCAAATTGGATTTGATAAATACTTTTGTTCTTAAACGCGAAGACGTCTACTATGATACCATGATCTCTTCAGACCATGATATTAATTATACTGAACACAAACACGAAGCACAGAATACTAGACAGCAAATGGTATATAAATATAGAAGAAAATGTCACTAGAAAAGGTAGACCGAATAGAAAGTCTCGCAATAACATGCTATTGCCTTTCATATTATATTACAGTTTGAATTTTTTCCAATTATCTTTAAAACTGTGACAACATAGAATCAGCATATGAAATAATGAAAGTTTAACAAGGATATGGGGTCACTTACGAGTCGTATTATATAAAACAATATCGGCGAATACATGCGATCTAAAGAAGGTAGATAAAAAATGTAAATACCTTTTGGAGAATGTGTTTTAAGATAAAACAACATCATGAAGAAATAAATCTTATTATGATACTACATATTACATACTTTATATTCGAGATACATATATCTCCAACCATTTATAAGATTAACAAACCGTACCAGGATAAGTGTAACAAACGCGAGTTGCCTACCTTCTAATGGAGAAAAAGATCGACAAATCAAAACCTAAAAATAACTTTGTCGAAACGACGAGACATACACTTGACGGGATCAATTTGATTCATTCATTGGTAAGATGAACTTAAATATTTTGTCAAAATACCATTTCAGTACTATCGAATCTTTCTCCAAGACGAAACAAAACAACAATACTAATCCCAGCACTCTACCTAGACTTTCTGGTAGTTAAGCCATGCATAACTTTTGTTTACTGAAAAAATCTAGATGCAAATAAATAATAAAACCGTAAATAGCACGCTGTGATGTACACGTGTGCCCACGAGCTGCCAAAATGGCGACCACGTGCACGAGCACAACATACCGGTGACGAAAAAAACAACAGAAGAAAAAAGGAGCGAAAAATTAAAAAAAAAAAACAACGAAGTTTCGGCGAATTCTGACACCAAATGTAAAGAGTGGCGGTTTCGGTTTACATACTGGACCCTCTAGGGTTGCTCCCAGCACAGGCACTCGAGGCCAGGATATTATTTTTTAAACATTGATTTTTGTTTTAGCACTCATGACTGACGTTATTTAAACGAAATATCAGCAGAATGCAAGTTTATGTGCCGGTTGACAAATCCGAGGTCGACGGTCATTAAAAATATTTTTAATGACCGTGGACCTCGGATTTGTCAACCGGCACATAAACTTTAATTCTGCTGATATTTCGTTTAAATAACGTCAGTCATGAGTGCTAAAACAAAAATCAATGTTTAAAAAATAATATCCTGGCCTCGAGTGCCTGTGGCTCCCAGCTGCTAACTAATAAGTGATACAGCAGTTTTGGTGACAAGTCCGTTTACTTTAAAAGTGAAGAGTCAAGAGAGCGCTGTCGTGTCACATCAGTTCAAACTAAGGGCGATAACTCCCACAGTTTTCACTACAAGCACCTTGTATGCAAATGAGTCCACACCCTGCCAGGCGACTTCAAGAAGCAAACATAAGTAATTCGCCAAAGGGTGGATGGTGGGTGTGTCCTTGCTTACAATAGACTTTGCTTGTTCAAATGGCACTTTGTCGAGATTAGTACATTCTCGCTTCCAATCGGCAAGGAACCTATCACAACACAAGTGATAAAAGGTTGGACAGTTCGCGGAATCCTACCTTAATAAGCAATTTATTTAATACTGCTCACACCTGATAAACGTATCCGTTCAGAAAATCGAATTTGAAGATAGTGTGTAACCAATGCGCCACCCGACCAACCTTGTGATGTTGGTCGGGTGGCGCATTCAACGGTGTCCAGAAGGAAAAGAAGTTGATGACGTCAAACATTGCTATATATGGATATGTCGCCGTGTGTCTTGTTAAAATCTTGTACAATTTAAGTAAGATTGAAAAAACAACGAAAACAAAAATAAAAAAAACAAACAAAATACGCTTCAGTGAATTCATCGATTCGTCGTTTAAAATGTGCATTTTTTATCATATTGCTCGCATTTAGGCAGTGACTATTTCATATGACCCGTACACTCATGGTTATACGTAGATATATGTTGTAGCCTCCGTAATAGTACGGTACATAACATATCAGATTTATTTTAAATTTGAATAGCATAAATATCCATGTTCAAAATCACAAACAAATAATAACCACATTAAATTATTATCATAAAAATCAGAGTGACAGAATTCAGTTCAACAATGTCCGTTGATTAAAAAGATCACATTTCATTATATGGCTACATATGGTCAGTTAGTTCCAGTAAAAATCCAAAATCAGAGCCGATGTGGTTTACCTAGACAGGTGTGAACTATAGACATCTCTTCATTCGGCTTATTTCTGTACGAGATAACCATGTGATTTTGTCTCGGTGGCGTATGATAAAAACATCCCTTGATTTGGTTTAAAACAAATGAAACTGTGAGAAAATCAAGAATTTGAAAATACATTTGAACAGTATGATTGATTATCAGTGTAGCAATTCAAATTTTGAAGATTAACAACTGAAAACTCTTAATCGAGGATTCGGATCGAAAGGATCTACAACATCTACCATTAAATATATCTTTAAGTAACCCACTACACTAAGGAAAAGAATGATAATGACGAGAAATTGATTAACCACAGTATTAAAAATAATTCTCTGTTGTGGCAATGCTTCTATCCAATACAAATACATAGTACAGAATAAATCTCGAAT